CCCAGTGCCCAGTCCAGGGGCACAATCCCTGCCCTGCTCCTGCTGCCACCCTGTTCCTGAGCCAGGCCGGGATCCATCGGCCTCTCGCCCCCCTGGGCACCCCTGGCTCACGTTCAGCTGCTGTCAGTCAGTCCCCCCAGGTCCCTTTCTGTCCCCCCACTCTGTCCCCAGCCCGTGGGGGTTGTTGTGACCAAAGGGGCAGGACCAGCACTTGGCCTGGTTGAACCTCATCCCGTTGGAATCAGCCCATGGATCCAGCCTGTCCAGGTCCCTCTGTAGAGCCCTCCAGCTGATCGACACTCCCCCCCAACTTGTCATCTGTGAATTTGCTGCTGGTGGACTCGAAGTGCAGTCCCCTCACCCTGAGGGAGAGCTGCTCAGCAGCAGGTCCACCCTCTGCCCCAGCCTGGACTCACCGTGGCGAGGGACACGAGGACCCTCCGGAACATGGAAGATGTGTCTGACACGATGTCGTCCTCGAGGGTGGAGCCGTATTCTGGCCAGGGCACACACAGAGCAGGGCTGTCAGCAACAGCTCCAGCACCCACACCCTGCCTGTCCCTGGCCTGGGCCACTGCAAGCTGGGTAAGGACGTAACTGTGCTCAGGGCCCTGCACTCCACAGACTCATGGAATGGTTTGGCTTGGAAAAGCCCTCTAAGGTCATCGAGTCCAACCTCACCCCTGGCACTGCCAAGGCCACCACTGACCATGTCCCCAAGGGCCACATCCACAGGGCTGTGAAATCCCCCCAGGGATGGGGACTCCACCCCTGCCCAGGGCTGGACAACCCTTTCCAGGAAGGAATTTCTCCAATATCCAACCTGTCCCTCCCCTGGCACAGCTTGAGGCCGTTCCCTCTCCTCCTGTTCCTGTTCCCTGGGAGCAGAGCCCGAATTCCCCCCCAGCTCCCCCCTCCTGTCAGGGACTGCAGAGCCAGAAGGTCCCCCTGAGCCTCCTTTTCTCCAGGCTGAGCCCCCCCAGCTCCCTCAGCTGCTCCTGCTGCTCCAGCCCCTTCCCAGCTCCTGAGGAATCCAAAAGTGACCCCAGGATTGGAGGTGCCTCAGCAGTGCCAGCACAGGGGGATGGTCACTGCCCTGGTCCTGCTGCCACACCATGGCTGGTACAAGCCAGGATTATCCTTGGCCTTCCTGGATTTCCTCACAGCATTCCATATTTAGTGGCACAGGGCAAA